TCGCCACGGTCTAGGACATCATCTTCACCACAGTCGCCAAGGCGCGGGTTGATGGTATGGACCGGACGTACCTGGAATGGAAAGACCAATATTTTCTTCGTGGACCCCGGACTGAAGGTGAGCGCTGGCGGTTACATCGAGCAACTCGTGAAGAATATCCTCCTCACATGTCGTCGCCCGTACCTTCTTGGAAACTTTGTACTGCTACAGCATTGGGTGCCACCACATGGAATCGAAGGGCATTGGAGAAACTCTCGCCTACTTGGAATGGAAGGGGGCTGAGTACCTAAAGAAGATGGAATATCCAAGTAGGTCACCTGAACTAAACCCCTCAATTATCATGTCCATTTCTTCAACCCTGTCGTACTGACGAGCCCGGGGGTTGGTAAGACTTCGATGATTCGTCTACGATAACGGGCGAAACGGATCATCTGTGCTGTGGAGTGTATTCCTTTCCCCAATGTTTGTTTTTCTTTGTTTCTAATTGGCGCGTTGCCAAACCCGTTCTCCACCAGTTGTTGAAGCGAGCAAGTGACAAGACTGTATCATATCGTTCGTCACTCGTTTTCTACCAATGTTGTCGCATACCCGCTTCAACAACTGGCAGAGAACTGGTTTCGTGCCGTGGCACACTCATACTGCCTGACACGCCCCTTCATCCGCAGCGAACCGGAGTATATAAGGCTTCGCATGTCTTGTTTGTCGTGCCGTCACTAATATTACTGCAAGGATTCAGGTATATCGACTTCTCTGAGCCTTGGTCATATCACGGAATTCGAATACTCGAGAAATCGGTCGGAGTTCTATTTTGACTTTCATGTTGATAACCTTCACAGCTGTTTCATCGAAGAGCCTTGAGTTTTACGGTTCAGATTCAGATTCCACGAGATTCGCCAATGCAGTCATTTCTGCAGCCATTGAAATCGTCATTGTGGACTGCGCTTTTCATTTCCGTGATCACAGTCGGCCTTGTAATTTTCTGTCTTGACCTTAAATCGCCTTTTGATACATTTCTACCAGGTGAAGACTTTTTTATTTTATCGCCTTTCTGAATTACCCTGGGATTTGTGATATGTCTTGTAAACCGTAAGCGAGGTGCTTCTATCCAAAGCTAGGTGCATCGTTTGATGCATGAAATGCTATGTCACTACGACCCCAGCCCCCGAAGGCGGCTCTAGTTGTTTGCTCTGAGAGGGATCGAGCATACCATTTTCACTTCAAATTCACCCTTTTTCAAACCAAATTCACCCCTTTTTCAAACCAAATTCACCCTCACTTTTCACATCAAATTAACCACACTTATTAGGGCGGGCAACTCATCAACCAGATCACGCCAGACATCACTGCGAGCCCCGCCCCGACGGCCACGCCCACTTGTCAGCGCGGACATAGATTCTCAAATCTTGTTTTGTTACTCACAGACACTTTGACTTGAAACGACCGGGCATTGACGCACGGCCGATGTCGCGGTCCCCTGGCACCCTACTGTCGCGATCGACATCGGTGGTGACCGCGGCTCCCGCGTCCCATCGCTCTACCACACCCTTCCTGCGCACCCGCACAGGAAGGGTGGACCTAACCCCCCGGGGACCATGGGGTTTTTCTACGGCGGGCACCTTACCGACCCCCTACCGTCCACGGCGTCTCCACCGTACCGCGCCGCACGAGGCCGTGGCCCTACCCCCGTATACCAACCACCATGGTACCACCATGGTAACAACCAACACATAGAAACACAGGTAAACATCCATGGAGACCATTATGATAACAAACAGAACATTAAATAATCTACATCATTTATTAACGAACTACTCACCGCACTACAATGATTGTTCTCCCCTGGCCGCCGTTCTCCATGGGCTTCGTTCCATAGCTGACCACGCAGTAGGCCCCCGTGGCCAT